GCCTCGAGCCCGCCCCGCTCCCGCTCGACCTTCCCCGCCGGGAGCGCCCGGGCGGCCCCGTGGAAACCCAGGCCCTCGTCCCTCGTGTCTCGCCAGGCTTCGTGAGCTTCGACAACCCGGCCAGCGCGCAGACCGCCATCCAGGCCATGAACGGCTTCCAGATCGGCATGAAGAGGCTCAAGGTGCAGCTGAAGCGGCCCAAAGACGCCAATCGCCCGTACTGAGCGCCGGCGGGAGCGTCCCCCGGGGGAGACCAGGACTCGCACAGGTAACGGGCGACCGGGGCGTGGGGGCGGGAGGTTGGGGAAGGGGCTCCAGACAGACCCGCCGCGTTCTTGGGCCTCCGTGGGCCCGACCCTCACTCGTGCCTTGGACCCGATGCGCCCAGCTCGGCCTGCTCCTGACCCAGTTCCTACAGGGCAGGAGCATTGCTGTAGTCATCCCGGCAGAAATGGGCACGATTGTCTCCTTGCCCTGGGCCGAGGGACGGGAGTGAGGGAACTCACTGAGAAGGTGAGGTGAGCTCTGGGCCCGGGCCTCAGGTCTTCACTGGCAGCCCTGTTGGCCCTTGGGCGGCAAGCTCGGACCCCACAGAGAGCTGTAGCCATGGGTTGGGGCCTTCTAGATTGGCTCTCTGCTGCCTGGTTCTGCCAGCTGGGCTAGTACCCTCTACACCCCTCACCCCTCACCCCTCACCCTGCAGTTGCCCATAGCTCAGTCAGGACCAAGGAGTAGGCTTCGCAAGGGGAACTTTAGCAAGAAACAACAGGATGGGACAAAAGTTAGGAGGGTGATGGTATAGCACTGAAATCCCTTTCCCTGCCTGTTACTTGGATAATGATGAGTGGGTAGTTGTCACCTGTCCGCTCAGGCTGGGACCTGCCTAGCAGCTGGAGCCAGCTGCTCCTCTTGCTGGCCAGCTATTCTCCTGGGGAAAGCAGCTTCTGAGAAAATGATGGGAGTGGTGTTCCATTTATTTAGCAGTACTGTGCTGTAGGTACTATGTGAGGTACTCAGAATATTGCAGTGACTGAGAGTGAAGAAACAGGCAGTAGAGCACTTAGCATGTTGGTGTTGTTGGTTATGGTTAGGTCCTGGGGTCAGGAGCTATAGCCTGCCTCATTTTAACGGTCCAGCAAGGACATGAAAATGGTGAGAGAGGCAGTGCTGCGGCAGGGTGTCCTGCCTGTGAGGACACAGCCAGTGTGCAGGCCCCAAGGGGAGGGCCGGGGAACAGCAGGTAGCTGGAAGAGAGCTTGGGCTGAGAGAGTAGTAGGAGAGACTGAGAATGAGGAAGTCTGGCCTCTGCAGGTCACTGTGGGGATTTTGGTCTCCTCTGAAATGGGAGGGGCTCTTGGAGAGTTCTGGTAGGAGAGTGATGTGGTTAACTTGCATTTGGTGGGATCACCTGAACACTGTGTTGACTTTGGGTTGTAGGGGCTGAAGCACTGCGCTGATCTTTCAGTCCAGGGCAACAGCAGTCGTCAGTGTGTAACGAACGAGTGGATGTCTAGATACTCTTTGAAGGCCAAGCCAAGGATGCTGTCCCTCATAAAGTAGGAGTGTGAACGAAAGGGGCTCCAAGGATGACTCCCAGGCTTTTGGCCTGAGTGACTAGACAAGTGAAGGGTGTGGGAGAAAGACCCGTGATGTAAGAGTTAGACATTCAAGTGAAAGTCCAAGGTCTGGAGATTGGGAGGGAGTCTTCAGTATCCTCTCTCCCCTCCAGTTCCACCCACCCTTGTCACAGGGGTATAGACATCAGCAAAATGCCCTGCTTCCAAACCGCAGGAACAGGGATCTTCTCTCTCTGGGTGCCTGAGGCACTCTCTGCAAGCCTGGAAGAGCCAAACTGGCCTCTGGCCTCCTAATTTCCTGGCCCTGGCTTGTGAGCAGATGCAAACATACAGGTGGGTTCAGAGTCTGGGCAACTTCTGTCAGGCACTGGGCACAGCACTGGGGATACAAAGATGAGAGGTCACATCTTGGATCTCCCCTCTCTGTGCTCACACAGACACCAGGAGGCAGCCAGCAGATGGTGCACTTTTGTAGGAGGAGCAGGATGGTTTGGTATATAGAGCTTTTCTGGATGTAGAACACTTTTCCTTAAATAAGTATAGCTCTGCCACTCAGACATGATCTGAGCCAGGCCCTTCCCCCTCTGGGCTTCCATTTCCCCATTATTGAAACCAAGGTGTTCAAGTCAATCAGAAGATTGAGGGGTAGGGCACATACTAGGGTCATTCCTTGAGAATCTGAGGGGCCACTGTGGGTGTTTTTGATAGTGGCTCTTCTGTCCTAGCCACCTTGGTCAAGCAAGGGTAGAACTTCCAAGTCAGAAACATTCCTGGGTGAAGATTTGAGGAAGTCAGGTTTGTTGTTTGGGACATAAGGTAAGAAGTGGCCTACCAGGTAGACAGAGCGGGCACTCAGACTTGGGGTAGGGGCTGTGAAGGAGTGGTTTAAGAAGCAGGGTGGGTTCTTCCATCATGGAAGGCAAAGGCCAGAAAGATGAGAACCACAGGCCTTCACATGGTACTCGCTGGGTCCCTGGTACCTTTCTGACAGGTAAAGGCCATGAACAGCTATAAACTAGAACTGCTATGTCTGCCTATCAGATAGGTAGTGGCAGCATTCCCACTGTACTGATGGAGCACAAGAAACTTAAGTAGCTTGTCCATGAGCCAGTGAATGGTGGAACCAAGCTTTGAAGCCAGGGAGCCTAGCTCCCTTCAAGAGAGGAGAGTGAGAAGCTCCTACCTTCACCCGAACCCTGCAAGCCCAGAGTGTCCTGAATCTCCGAGGGGATACATCATGCCATCTCACTTCTCAGTGGGTAAGCCAAATGGCCACATCCTTTCTACTAAACAGTCTTTTCAAACTATGTTATGGCATAACCCCTATAATAATGTTGGACTCTAATCTTCACATAGTTGGCATTTAGCAGTGCCTACAGGCTGCCTACAGGCTCCCCAGTCCAAGACTGTTGGAAACTAAGAAGGAGGGTGCTGAGAAGAGGTAAGAGCTTCTCAAGGTAGACTGCAGACAGAACAGGCTGTTCACTCTTTGGGCTGCCAGTAAGAGAGGAAATCACTCAAAAAAGCAGCTAAAAGACTGCACAATATCTCAGGGTAATATAGGGTGTTTATAAATGATGAACGTGCCATTACCCATCTGATAGGGAGGGAAACCTGAGCAGGAGTTAAGGGTACCAGCCATGGTGGGGAGCAAAGAGGTAGCAAGGAGGGGGATCCCAGGCCTGGGGTGGTTACCCTGAACTGGTGAAGGTAGAAACACAGTAGGTTGGTGGTAAAAGGCAAAGTCAGGCTCAAAGCAGGGCAGATGAGGTGGGGGTTAGGCAAAGCAGCCATGGAGAACACAGTTGGGTTGGGTTTTTTAAAGTGAGGCCCTCGCTGGGGGCTGGGGACAGTATGGTTCTTCTTCCTTATTGGTTTCTAGTCTTGTCCCTGTGCCTAGTCCTCTGGTTGCTTGGGTGTACTGTCTCACATTAAGATGGAAGTTTCTCCAAGAAACTTTACCAGCAAACTAGGGAAGGAAAAGTGGGCAGAAGTGTGCATGTGGCAAGGTCCACACCCAGCAGGCAGACCTTGGACCTGCCCAAGAGATTGGCTTCCAAGACCCTTGTTGTGCCACTAAGTAAATGAGAATGCACTGGGCTCAAACACCAGCATTGATTCCCAGACTCTGAACACTAAGGTTCTGTATTTGGAAAAAGCACTAAGCAGGACTCTAGTGGGAATCCTATCTCTGTAGCTCTGGGCTTTGGCTGTGTGTTTTTGCACCGGGTCTGGTATGAGCTTCATAGGCATGGGTACTCCCTTGTGACCTATGTGGGGCAGGGTTGTAGCTTTGGGTTTTGGCCCTATGTGGTTAGAACTTACTTGTCTTAGGATCTTGTGTCTGAATTGGTTCAGTCTGGCCATAGTTTGTGCACCCAGTTCAGTAAGTTGGAGCTTCTCAGACTTGATCTATGCTTCCCTGTGCTGGTCACTGATCCCAGTGCCACTTCCAGAACTCTGCACTGTGAGGTGCCCTAGAGACTGGCACACAGAGTAGCCAGCTGTGCACATGGAGGAGTTTGGAAGACTTCCTTGGGGAATTAATGGATATAAGGCTGCATTGTGTGTCTGGAGCCAAGTGTGGAAGAGGTGAGGGTGTAAGAAAGTTCCCCACATTGAGCTTTGAGAAGAGAGACTATTTGTATTCAGTCTTGAGTCCAAGTACCCAGGGCAATACCTGGCTCTGAGGGGCAGCTGGACTAAAGCTGGGGGAGGGAAAAGGAGCAAGTAGAATAGGAAGGATGAATGCCCATGATGTGCCCCGAAATTGGTGTGGAGGGGAAGTAGGAGAACCCCCATGTGTCCTTTAGTTGCAGCAGCCATAACTGCCACTTGGGCAGCCTGGGTGGATCAAGGAGGTTTTGCAAGGGTAGGAAATGCAGATTAGAGTGACATTTCAGGACTTTCTGGGCATGCAATGGGCCCTGCTGTGAGTGAGGGAGAGCTGGTGTTGAAGGAAAGCAGAACCCTGCTTGGGGGAACGGCAGGGTAGGGGTCTGTGGAGGAAGTGGGGCTGGGGATGCTTCTGTGAAGGCTGAGCTGAAGGCCCACTGTGGGCTCAAAATAGAATCACTGCTCAGCTACTGCCCAGTGTATCTACCGTGGAGTTGTAAGATTCCAGCTTTCCCTTCCACTCTCCTCAAGGGAAAACAAAACTGAGAGTGGAAGCCCACTGCCTGGAGAGCCGGGGAGACAGGCTGGAAACCCTGCAAATGAGTCTAAGGCACAGAGGCTTTGGCTCAGGCTTCAGGGCCACAGAGGAATAGGGGTGATGGGGAGCAAGCTCATGGATAACCATGGGCATGGCAGAGCTGGAGATCCTGATTCTTGGGTGGAGGCAGAGGACCATGAAATGGTGAGGGAGGGAGAAGCTGAGCAATTTGATGACTCTTGATGGAGAAGGGAGCTCATTCTCAGCCATGAGGACTCCACCTGCAGAGAAAGGTCAGGGCCTACCCACTGGGGAGAAGACAGTCTCAAAAGCTGGGGGTGGAAGGGTGCAGGGGCAGAGGGGTAAAGGAGGAGTGAGGAGGAGGAGCCCTTTCTGGTGGACCTACCCTGCAGGGCACGCTATGGCCTTCCACATGGTCATTTTGTGTGCCAGAGCCTTCCGAGGGCTTCATCAGCCCAGTTTGGCCAACTTGGGAACAGATCAAAGAGTGTGAGCCAATACTCACACAGAGTGGGCAGTAGTGCCCGGCTTTGTTCACAGAGGTCCAAGAATGTTGATGTAATTTACCCTAAATCTGAAAATGAAACATCATTTTTGGAAGGTTCTGAGGAAAGAAGTGTGAGCAGAGTGGAAAGGCAAGGATCATACCATCCCACTGTGGGTTCTCATGTCACCTGGAGACACCCTTCTGTAGGGTGGGGTCCCCGTGGGATCCGTAGGTGGGAGGGTTGAGCTGCTGCCCCTGTGGACCCTATAGCAGAGTGTCTCAGGGACTCAACTCACCTTACCCAGTCTCTGACCTGCCCAGCCAATCAGGGCCACCCTGACTGGCTCCCCTGGCTGGTCCTCAGACTGAAGTTACAAAAAGCAAAGCTGGGGTGGTACGGAGAGCTCTGCATCTGGGGGAGAAAGAATCCAGGGGGTTAACAGAGCTTGCTCCCTGAGATCTGCTTGCCGGCCACGGTGGTTTGAGGGGCTGTTTTATTTTTTCCCGGCCCCCTTGCTAAACCGCCCGTGCCCGCCTCCTCTTCCCAACGCATGATGGATGCCCTTAGTGGCCCTGTGTGAGGTTCTGCTGCTGTTCACAGTGTATCATGTGTCTGCATCAACAGCTGTGTGCGTATTTGTGTGCGTGTTGACGTGCCCATGTTGTCTGTCGCTGGCTTCCTCCATCCTTTGAGTTCTTTTCAGTTCCCTTATGATTTGACTGCGTTCTCTCATCAGAGCTTCTAGATTGATGCTGTGGTCTGGTGCTGTATAAATATTTTTCCTTTTAATTTTGTTTTAACTTCTTCCTTGCCCTTCTTCACCCTCAACCCAACTCTCCTTCCCCCAGCCACACTCCTGACCCCACCCAACCTTCCCTGCCTCTGCCCTCCCCCTGCCCAAACTCTCTTGTCCTCTCTTTCTCTCTCTCTCTACATATATAAATATATATATAAATCTTTTCTTCTTTTGTCATTCAATCAAATTCCAACAACCCAACCAGGGCCAGTCAAATCCACCACAGTCTCGCGCTGAGCTAGGAATAAAGTTCACGTAATCACATGAGAGTGGAGAAAAGTCCCCCATCCGTAAGTTCAAATCAACTCAAAGTTCACAGTGTGACATGATGGCGTCATGTAACAAGGCTAAGAATCGGTTGCATGACAATTGCCGTCAAGTTTCGTGGAGGTGCTGTGATTGGAGCGTTTTTCTTGGATGTCGTATCCGTTGATGATTGGCCAGTCATGATCACACGTGCATTTTCTTGACTTTTGTGCTGCCACGATCTTTTTTGCTGTGCTCATTTTCGTTTTGTTCTTGGTGCTTGCAGTGGTTTTACTTTCTGTTGTTTGGTTTTTCTTGTTCAGCGTTTTTTTATGCTTCTCTAGATGTCACGTAGAGAAAAAAAAAACTAAAGAACAAAAAATTAGTAAAAAATAAAGATGAATTCCTGAATTACAAACATGGGATCATTTAACTGTGCAAACCATTATTTTTTTTCTTAAAAATAAGGAAAACATCTTAAACCTATCTATGCGTGGTTGATTTACTTGCACTTGAAAATATTGTGATTTTATTTTTTTCTAGAAATTTGGGGGCCTTTTTCAATTGACACTTTCCTAGGTCTGGTCTTTTTCCAGTTAGGCTATTTTAAATCTCACCTCAAAAGGAAAAACCAAAACCAAAACCAAAATATCTACAGTAACAAAATGATACAAAAAAAAAAAAAATTCTAAACCAAAAAAAAAAAAAAAAAAAAAAACTAGAGTAAAAGCCAGAGGCCTCTGACAGAGAGCCCAGTAACAATTATAAGGTTTGTATTATAGCTACTTCTGCTAAATTCAATGTGGGGAGGGGAGGTGGGGACCTGGGGGCTTGGGAGGGCTTTTTTGGTTGGTCTGGAAGAAACAGTACTGACAAAAGCAAAATGCACCTTTTTGTTTACAACTGAAAAAGGGTCCTTGACAAGTGTTTTTTAATTTTATTATTATTTTATTTGGTGTTGTAATTGTTTAGACTGCTGTGTACGGTTTGCTGTTTGTTGAATCAACAGTGTGAAAAACCTGCCAGCATGGATTGATATACGCATGACGTTGTCCCCTCAACCGGGGGGCTTTGCAGTTCTAACTTTCTTGGTGTAACCAGTCACCCCATGTATAAGTGGAAGCTGCTTGCTAGAATGGAGATGAGTCTCATTTGTTAATTCACAACGACTAAGCATTTGCCTTCTGATTCTAGTCAGATCATGATTTTTTTTCTTAAAAGCAAAACAAAATGCCAAAATGCCACCATTCCAAACAAAATCAAGAACTGTCTGAGTTAATTTATTTAAGATTGATAATGAAATCTGTTCTGACCTTTTTTAGGTTCTCCTGTCCATTCCCTCAAAGTTCTGAATTTCCTCTAAATTCCCTGGCATGTATGAGAAAAGTCTTACGTATGTGTGTATGTGTGTATATATGCATATACATATACACATATCCATGTATATCCACATATGTGCAGGTGAATATATTCTACACATATATCCAGATATACATATATATACACAGCCTCGCAAATCATTACTGACTTCGGGAAAGAAGTGGTTGGCTGGAAGCTGGGCAAGGATTCTGCAAAATTCAAGTCGTGGGTCTGTCTTCCTTGTTTTCCTCAAACTGGGGAAGAACGGGTGAGGTGTATAGATTTTTGCTGTCCTGTTTGCTAGGCTTCTGTATACATATTGTATCTGGGCTAGATCCCTCAGGGACAAGTTTAATTATGAATTCATATCCCACAGTCCCAAATTCTTCCCTTAGATCTAGTGGTCCCTCAATCCAGAACTCTAAAGGAACCCAAATCAAGACCGCTCCCAACAACTAAACCTCAGCTACACCCATCACCACTAGACCCCCAGCGGTTTTTTACTCTGAATAGAAGAGCAAATTTCTTTTGACTGTATCATGATCATGACTAATTCTCATACTGGTCTCTCTTCCTTCCCTCCTGCCATCCCCCAGAGCTCCCATCCTACTCCCCCAAGGCAGGTTCCTATTGGTGTTTGGATGCATTTGTGTTTTCTCTCTTGGCTTAATCAGCCCCGATTTTCTTCATTTTAGGGCAGGATGCTGAACGGGCTACATTAAAAAACAAACCTCTCTCTCTCTCTATTTATAAATGAGAACTGTTGGATGACACCTTTGACATATCAGCCAATATCAATCAAGCTGAAGACTCCAGACACTCTGTGTGACTGTAACATTTCTTCAAGGAAAGTATAGCGTCTATGGAGTTCAGAGGGCACGTGTTTGGGGGAAAATACACATGACATGAAGACGACGAAGAAGAAAAATGAGAAAAAAAAAACACAAAAAAAGGCAACTTTAAAACAAAGTAACGTGAGACCAGACAGGGAGGCTGAAGGGCTGGGCACTGGGAGGAGACGCTGCTGCTCACCGATTCCCTCGGCTTTTCCAGCCTGTGGGCGCCTGAGGCAGGCGGGGCAAGCGTGCTGTGGGGCCTGGTCCCCTGGAGCGGCTGGGAGGCCGCCGCTGAGCACCTCTATCTGTCATTCCTTTAGCTATTTAGGGACCAAAGGACCAAACTTTTTATTGCAGATGTGTAGCTCTATGTCAAATAGAGGGGGAATGGAGAACTACCTCCTTCCTGCCTCCTGGCTGTTCTTGAAACAGCTTAGAGCGATTCTATGAAAAATGTAATAAAAAAAAAAAAACTTTAAAAAAAACACAAAAAACAAAAAAAAAAGAAAAAAAGAAAAAATAATAATGCTTCAATGCTTTTGAAACAGCAAGATACTAGTTCTTTGATACTTTGAGAGGCGCTTTGATTACCCTCATTGAAGTCTATGACACTTTCCTATGGTTTTCTGTATTATATGTCTGGATGGAGCTGTTAAGATGAACAGATTGGTGGATCTTTGGGGAAAGCAACAAAAGTATTAAAACTCATTAACTGTGAAGTGTGAGAACACACGGAGGGGAACAAAGGGACTTCCAAGGCAAGGTAATTGTTGTGAAAAGTCTGTAAATGCTTCTAACTCTTCCCCCTCTTAAAATCATAATAGTTGTACAGAATTTTAAAAAGGAAAAGTTTAAAATACCTATATAATAGAAGAAAAATTAGAGGAAAGCAAAAAATAAAAAAAAATAAAAAAGGAAAAAAAAACTTATAGAAGTTAGCGTTACTGCTAAAATCCCAGATGTTGTAGGACTGTACTTTTGTAGAGTTTAGACTGAGCATCAATCCCTTCTCCTCGCGAGTGCTGTCGGACGCCGTCGTCCCCGAGGGCCAGGCCGGACTCTCCCAGACCTGCGGGCTCCCCTGCGCGCCACGGGACGGGAAGGGCCCCTCGCGCCCGCCGCCGCCGCCGCCACCGCGCCTTGCTTCGCCCGCCCCGGAGCCGCGCGCTCGCTCGCTCTCCGCAAGCCCGACACCTCCCGCTTCACTCGCCGCCTTCCATGCTTGTTCCAGAGACTTTCCGGGCAAGGGAGAACTGGGAACTTTCATCTTAAAACAACTAGACGACACACACACACACAAACCTTAAAAAAAAATTTAAAAAAGAGAGAGAAAAATAAACAATCTTTGAAGAATTTCTGAAACTGTTTACAAGGAATTTTGAAAAACAGGGATGTTTAAATGATGCCGGCTCTGTTTTTCTGTAAATAAATTTGCATATTTTGTAGGACTTTTAATTGTAATGATAGAGAAAAAACAAGGAAAACTATTTAATGAAAGCACGATATTTATCTTTGGTAAATGACTTTAGAGCAGTTAAAGACATTGCTTAAAAACTCAGAATCAGAAAAACACTGAATTATTTAAGAACACATATATTTTAAAGTATATCATATTTATTATAATTTATTTGCACCCTTGGGAAGACTTGCTTTGGCATTCTGCCTCAAAAACTTCTCATTGATGTCCAGTTCATCTGGAGGCCGGAGGGACGCGCAGACCTACCATTTTTTTTTTTTCTTTTAGAAGAACAAATTTCCGGCTTCTCTCAGGTCTCCTGTCTTTCCTTTCTGTCTATTTTGTTGTTGTTGTTTTAATTTTCTTTTTCTTTTTCTTGGCTCCTTTTAGGATGTCCAGATGTTGTAAAAAAACAAAACAAAACGAAACAGCTGCAGTTCAGTACAACTGCTCTTTTCACACTCAACTCCCTAAAACTCCTTGTAACCTTCTGTAACTATTGGATGACGCTTTCTCCAGCTTAGCCCTAAATAAAGCACAGTTTAAAAAAAAGACTCCTCCTCACAGTTCTCTGCTTCTCAGATTCTAATCAGCTCTGTCTCACGTCCCAAGGTTTGCCCATGGGAAGTAGCTGTGGTCTTCCTCCTCCCTGAATTCTTCATCTACAAGGGCCTTCGGTGTGAGCCTCAGCCCTGGGGCTCCTTCTGGGTGGTGAAGGGAACAATAAAAGGAAATCCTTTTCCACCCTAAGAAAAGTCTTTCTCAACTGCCACAGGTTTCTGAACATCCTTGTAACATTTTTCCATGTGGAGAAGGCCGCAGTGACTGAACATTGCAGGACTCCCCTTTCTTCTCGGACCAGAGGAAAGCAAGGCCACCTGAGCCGAAGGCAGAGCAAGAGTTGGGGTGGGGATGTAGGAGAGGGAAGGAGCATGAGGAAGGGGACGAGGGGACAGTTCCAGATATGCCACCGAGCCTTTTGTCCTTGGTCCTGCAGGTTCCACTGCTTGGACACTGTGTGATGGAGAAAATAGGGTTCTGGGTGGTGCCCTCGGAGTCAGTGTCCTGGAGAGGGGTGTGGAAAGAGAAACGGGGGCCCTGCTCCGGGGAACTTCCTGGACTGCTGGTCCACACACACAGACATAACAGAGAGAGGAATGTCCAAACCCTTAATACCCAGAGTGGAGGAAGGAGTATTCCTACAGGGAGAACATGAGGCAGGACCTGGTGGACAGAAAGGGCTGTCATCTGAGGTAGGAGCCAGGACAGATGTGTTCTGTCCCCGTGCCTTCATTAGACCTGTCCAGGCAGAGACCTTCTCAATTCCACCTACTCAGTTCTACCTTCAGCCCTGCAGCCTGTTCTAGGGACGATGGCAGACTCCCTCCAAGGGTCTCTGTCACTCTCCAGGGTGAAGGGTGGGAAAGCTGTGAGGTTTTAGGTGTCTGGGGAGAGAAGATTTGCCCCAGGCAGTCAGGCTTCTGTCTGGGCCCTCCTTCTGAAGGGGGATGGTGTTGAGCAGAGCTCAGAGCCAGCTGCCAAGCAATAACTGGACCCCTGTTCCACCCTCTCCCAACCTTTCCTCCTACGGCAGGGGCCCAAGCTTGTGAAGTGTCTGCCTGGAGAGAAAAGACCTTCCCATCTCAGCTAATGTGGACAGGCCTTCAAGCCTTGCCTTCAGTGTGGAAATGGTTCTGAGAGAGGCACTGCCCCTTAAATTAATTCCCCCTTCTCTTCCCACCAGGCTGTGAGCCCAGGAGATACCCTGCTCTGCCACCCTGAGGAGCTGGACTCCTTGGGAGTTAGCTTCAAGGGCAGACTGGGTGTTACGTGAAAAACAGAAAGGTGTTTTCTAAGGAGTTCCCTGGGAATGAGGCAGGGTGGTCTGTGGGTTTTGAACTTGACTCCAAAACTGATTTCTGTTGGATTTTTACAGCTGAAAGTAAGTCACTGAATCTGCCTTACTGAACAGTGACTCTCAGGCCAGCCCCAGACAGCCTCCACATACCTATTTCTTCATACCCACCTCGTCCCCATACTCCTGTGTCTGGGACACAGTCTCCTCCTCTGTCCCTGAAGGTGCTGTGGTTCAACAGTGCAAGGACACTGGAAGCTGCCGTCAAAGAGGAGCTGAGAAGCTTGTTGGCCAATTTTACCTTTTCCGGGCCCGGTTGACTAGGAAGATGGAATCAGCAGAGCCAGATGTAAATATGCCAGTACTATAAAATAAACCTTCTAGTTAAAAACCACACACTAAATGACTAATCTATGCATGGCTCTTTGAGAGTAAATGCATCTTTTAACTTTCGAGGGGACAGTCACAAATTCCTTGAAAATGTGTTGCAAACTCTCACGTCCCTTTGCACACAGTTACAGGGAGCTTGAGAATCCCTGCAGCTTTTTCATCCCTTCCTGGTGAAGAGCTCTTGATCTGCAGTGTCAAGAAAATCCAAGACATTCTTACCTGTGTTTATACTCTGGTTTCTATTCCTCTGCTAGTGTCCACCTGCAGTGTGTGGTGCTTTCACAGCTCTTCTGATTGGATCAGACCTTTGCTTTGTTATTATACACTTTTTATTTCAAGCATAATAACTCCAAATGGAGACACCTGTGTGATGCGCCACCATGTGCCCACCCTCTAGCTTTGGCGCCCATCAGCTATGAGTCAGTTTGACATAGACCCCAGGTACCAATTGTTTCATTGGAAGATGCCTCAGTTTCCCCTCAGTGTGTTTTGTGCTGCATGTTTTCTGTGCTGCATGGCTGGGAGTGGGGTATTTGGCCAATTTGGGTCTCCACAGCCTTCTTCCGGGTCTCTCTAGCACCTCCCCAGGTTTCATGGACTTGTCCCACTTGCAAAGCCTTTCAGCTCTTCCTCTGTCCCTTTGTAATCATAGCCTTTCCCTCACTTTTGTCTTCTCTCCCTTCTACCCTCCCATCTCTATAATGCTAATATGAAAACAATTTGTATTGAGACCTTTCACTTAATAGCTCCCACTCCCTTCTCAGTTTGTAGCCCAGGCTTTCATTCTATTCTGAAGAAGACCACACCCCTTCCTGCATGCAAAGTGTCAGTGGTGTGACAGGACACAGACCTGTCACAGTTTCCTCACCTCTTCACCTCCTGGTGCTGCCCCCATCGTGTAGGGCATTGTTACCGGTCTGACCAGATCCCCAGTTCCTAATGGCACAGGGACTGCAGGGCCTGTATTCAGATCACACCAGGGTGAGCCACTTTGTTGCCTACCAGGTAAGCTGGCTGGAGGGACACGTGAGCAGAGCAGTGGGCTCAGGGGCCCAGCTTAGCCCAAGGCAACAGCATAGGACTTGGCTATGAATGCCACTTGGCCATTTCCCAAAATGGAGTCCACTCCCACACAAAAATTATCAGCTGCCATTGATGTACCACTTCCAACAGACTATTAACTTCTGGCAGTTAGATTTTTAATCAGTGTTGTTGAGTCTAAATTTCACAAAGGGTGAAAGCAGAGATGGAGTTTGTCAGAGTTCTCAGAAGAGATGAATAATTAGGACCACAGGAGAGAGGAGCTAAGATAATAAGACAAAGTACAGATGACTGACAAAGTACAAATAGACACATAGACAAAGTACAGATGACTTGAAGGCTTATTCCAAAGAAGGAGGTGTTCTGGAAACGTTTTTTAAGTAGTACTAATTGCACATCTGGAGTAAGTGCACAACCAATAGTCCTTCCTCCCCAGAGAGTTTGCAAGTATAAGTTCTTTGCTTTAATTTCATAGCTTCCTCTCTCCACCAATTTTCCCTCCAATTTCCTAAACCGTCTTCCCTTTTCTTTTCAGATCCTCCCTTTGGTTACCTGCCTGTCCACCCAGCTCTCCAGGCCCCCTTATTATCTTAGCTCCTCTCTCCTGTGGTCCTAATTATTCATCTCTTCTGAGAACTCTGACAAACTCCACCTCTGCTTTCACCCTTTGTGAAATTTACCTAGGATTTGCTCAGACTGGGAAGTGGGTGGGTAGGAAGTATCTCAGCGTGAAAAAGCATAGGCTTTGACTCCAGACCAGAATTTAGATCATAGTTCTTTTCAATACCTTCTGGGTCATTAGGGAAATATTGCTTAATATCTCTGAGCCTCAGTTTCCTTATCTCTAAAATTGGGGTAATATCCCCCAAAGCGTTGAGAAGTAAATGAGGTGCAACTGCACACAGCTCTATCCCATGCCAAGAATCCTCTGCATGGGAATTTCCTTTACACTGCAGGTATTTCCAACATTTTCTCCTTCCCTTCCTTAAGTCCACCTCATTGACAGTTCCCATCCCAACCTAAGCGTGCTTGAACTTGACACCAGGCCACTTAGGTCATTTTCTGGGACTTCTAGGGAGCCAGTGCCACTCCCGGAGAATTCCTGTCATGTTAAAGTGCGCACACCTCTGGCTCTCACTGCTCTTTTCCAGGGACCCCAATTAGTTGACGATCTTAAGCCTCTTCCCCTCTCTGCCCTCTCATTTTCCCAAGAGCATTCCCAAGGCCCCATGGCTGCTGCTGCCCGCAGCTGTCCTCCTCCTGGTTCACATGGCCTCAGGCTACATACTAATTTGGTCTGTGCATTTAAACATTTCTTAATCTATTTTCTGAATAGATAATGTACTCTTATATTTGAAAAAGCAGGAAAAAAGATACAGTGAATCCGGTCACCATCCCCTCTAGAGGCAGCCAGCATTGCCAGTTGGTCCCGCCCCCTGATGATTAAGGGTGTGGATGTGGGGTGTGTTGGTGGCAGGAGCAGTTTCATCCCCTTTTCAGTGGGGAGACAGAGCCAGGCAGTCGTAAGGCCAGGCTCTGGGATGCCTGGGGACTCTGAGCAGAGGAATCTGGGCCCTCCAGGCACACGCTTACCTCGGGGGACTCTGCGCTGAAGCAGGGATGCAGCTATTATGGTGTGTTTGTTCCGTGGTGGACACTGTGCTAGGAGCCGCTTACTTACAATCTCCTGAACCCTCTCTGTAGGTAATTCTATGATGCAGGTGTCATTATCCCTGAGGAAACTGTGGCTCAGAGAGTTTAAGGCCCTTGATGAGATCACCCAGCTCTGTCTGCAGGGCTGGGCTGCTCCTGTCTACCTCAGGCCTCCCTTAGACTGTAAATTTCCCCAGTTACACATTCTCCGCACAATCTCATTCTTCCAGTGCTTGTTTCATGTGTCCTATCTCCCCTCTTCTTGCTACATTTTTCTCCTTAAAAATCCTCTTTTTACTTTTAAGAAGTGGCAGCATCTATATTGACTTGGGTGTCAGTCTGTTTCTTCCCTTCTCTCCTTGATTGTCCGAACTGGAACGGGAGTTCTTGAGGGAAGCAGTGACATGCTACTGAACATGTAGCTAGTGGTTGCATAGTTCTGCCTCTGGTAGGCACTGCTGGGAGCAGGCACACAAGGGACAACATAGAGGAGAGAGAAACCCCCAAAGCTCCAGAGGAAATCAAAAGAAATAAATGCCATACTTACTAATGTTTTCTGCAGCTACTTGAAATTTGAAAACCTTTTGGACTATGATGACTCTGTTGCCCAGGA